ACTGAACCAGACACTTACTAATTTGCATGAGTAGCATGGGATAGATCCCGGACGAACCCCCACTTTATGTTACGAACCCCGTGGCTTTGAACGTCTAGGGTGATGGACATGAGACCCGTAACATAATTCATGTAAATTATAAGTGTGGCATGGAACAGTGAGAACAAATATGACACAACAACCATGAACTACCGTCAAACACAAATGGTTTATTTCTGAACACACGGTAAAGGTTTGGGAAAAAGGGCTGAGCAGGACCCAAGAAATGAAACAATAGTGTAAAACACCCCTAAACTGATCTTGCCTGCCTCAAGAACCGCTAGGCTACTGCTACCATACAAAAATACAGTGGGTGGTCCGCTCAGGTCTAACTAGTGTTTATAGACAGTTCTTTCTACGGGAAATGTATGCCCAAGGGCAGCTAGCTCAAACTCCCCTTTTCCCAGAAACACACAATAGTTACCAACCAGAGTAACCAACAAATTAATGAGTACTCTAAACACAGGACATCACAGTATCCATTACTCACATACAAAACAGTGGTCTAACAAAATTACCAACCAGAGTAACCGGCAACTTAGTGAGTAAACAAAAACAGGACACCACAGTGTCCATACTCACATACATAAATAGTCTCTCTCTCTCTCAACAAACACAAGTGACTGGTTTTTATATAATGGGATGTGTGATCGAAAAAACGAGTAACAGGTGGTGCAATGCACAGGAATGTTCACTGATTGGTCCAATCAGCAGACACCTCAACGACCACCAATCAGGAACATACAGGACACCTGTGATTAGGGCAGAAGGAGTAGAAACACACAAAAACACAGGATACCTGTATCCGTAACAGTAAGCTACCTATAATACCAAACTACAATACCTACCTACAATCTAAATACATGGTTTAAGCTTAACTCAACACCATATAAGAAGCCAAGCTTACCTTTCATAACGCAGCAATGATTAAACGTTGGGTAGCTAGCACAAAGATATTGTATTTAGCTACCACAGTACAGCCAGCTGGTAGTGTTGGCTGGCTAGCAATGGCTACTGTGTTGACTTTGTTTGAAAAACGGCGTCGCTGCGAACGAATGTAGCTGTTTAAAAGGATATTGTTTTTAGTTGCAACTGTTGCTAATAGCAACTCGCCAGCTAATCCAGGAAGTGAGTTAGCTAGCTAGCTTCGTGCTACACCCGGCACCGCCGAATACAAAAGTAACCTACAATAACTACACAACAGCTATCCACAACAGCCCACGATGCCTACCTATACTACTTAATAATATACAGCCCACGATGCCTACCTATAGTACCTAACTACAATCTAAATACATAGTTTAAGCCTTACTCGACAAAGCCCAAGCTATGTATAAAGCCAAACTGGCAGACTGCAATCAGTAGCCGAAATTAAGTACAGCAGCTACCAACCACCTAACGTTAATGATAATGAGGTTAGAAAAACAGCTGAAGGTGGCAGCTAGCTGGCTCAATTACAGGCACTCTTAAGCGTGAAATAACATTGGAAACAGCTAACCACAGTTGCTAAAAGTTGCTAAAAGTTACCGGTAGCTACCCGCTAGCTAGCTAGCTTTGTTGGTCCAAGTAGTGGGTAAGCTAGCCTCGTGCTTCGCCGGGGTCCGCCGAATACAGTCCTTACCTACAATAATTACCTACAATAACTACCTGAGTAAACTACCTATAATACCTAACTACAATACCTACCTACAATCTAAATACATGGTTTAAGCTTTACTCAACACCATATAAGAAGCCAAGCTTACCTCCTGCTAGAGAAAACACAACCTCTCCCACACACCACACACACACACACACAGACGCACCATTTAAATTGACCATATTCCTTACACAGTATATAAAGTCCTACACCATAGTTTAGGCACTGGAGCAGACCACTGTATTCACCAACTACTGTCACTAGACTACACATTATATCATTTGTCCAAGTATGTGTTTTCCAACAGTGTGATTGAAGTTCATGTCAACAGAATACCACTGCTCACATATGGTGCTCCAACATCTAATGGGTAGACACACTACAACGTCAGTCAACCAGGGACAGAGTCAGAATACCACTGCTCCAACATCTAATGGGTAGACACACTACAACGTCAGTCAACCAGGGACAGGGTCAGAATACCACTGCTCCAACATCTAATGGGTAGACACACTACAACGTCAGTCAACCAGGGACAGAGTCAGAATACCACTGCTCCAACATCTAATGGGTAGACACACTACAACGTCAGTCAACCAGGGACAGGGTCAGAATACCACTGCTCCAACATCTAATGGGTAGACAACAATGTCAGTCAACCAGGGACAGGGTCAGAATACCACTGCTCCAACATCTAATGGGTAGACACACTACAACGTCAGTCAACCAGGGACAGAGTCAGAATACCACTGCTCCAACATCTAATGGGTAGACACACTACAACGTCAGTCAACCAGGGACAGGGTCAGAATACCACTGCTCCAACATCTAATGGGTAGACACACTACAACGTCAGTCAACCAGGGACAGGGTCAGAATACCACTGCTCCAACATCTAATGGGTAGACAACAATGTCAGTCAACCAGGGACAGGGTCAGAATACCACTGCTCCAACATCTAATGGGTAGACACACTACAACGTCAGTCAACCAGGGACAGAGTCAGAATACCACTGCTCCAACATCTAATGGGTAGACACACTACAACGTCAGTCAACCAGGGACAGGGTCAGAATACCACTGCTCCAACATCTAATGGGTAGACACACTACAACGTCAGTCAACCAGGGACAGAGTCAGAATACCACTGCTCCAACATCTAATGGGTAGACACACTACAACGTCAGTCAACCAGGGACAGGGTCAGAATACCACTGCTCCAACATCTAATGGGTAGACAACAACATCAGTCAACCAGGGACAGAGTCAGAATACCATAAAGCTGTGTACTGTGTGTACCTGGGTATCAGGTGGTGTGAGGTGTTGCTGTATGGTCGCGTAAGGACACTGTCTTTTCCAGGACAGAACAGGGTGAATGGGGATATTAATGGCTCTCACACACACACCCTGCACCTGCTGCTACCCTGTCCTGCTGGACCTCTCTACTACACGCTATGGACTGGACTGACCCTGTGTTGTGTTGTCCTCTCTACTGACTCACCCTGTCATCTCCTCCCTGTTAGACACGGTGATCCAGGAGAACTTTAGGTTGTTCCTGAGCTCCATGCCCACCAAGGTGTTCCCTGTCACCGTCCTCCAGAACTCTGTCAAGGTAACACTCATCTTTACACTACTCTCTGTCACAGGACATAGAGAGACCTTCGAATCTACAACTCAATCTTAGGTTCTACAACTCCGTTTTAAATTCTGGAACTCAGTCTTAGATTATAGAACTTAGTCAAAGGTTCTATTATTCAGTCTTAGGTTCTAGAATTCAGTCCTAGGTTCTAGAATTCAGTCTTAGGTTCTAGAACTCAGTCTTAGGTTCTAGAACACAATCTTGGATTGTCTAAATTGAAACTGTCTTGGATTCTCAAGGCTCTGTTGAGATATTTATGGCTCTTCAGCAATTCCGATATTCCCTGTTTGCGTCTTTGGACAGATTGTCCTCTCAACCTTAGCCACCCCGGCCTGTGTTTCATATCACTCACAGGGCCTTCTCTAACCATGAGAGAGTAGGGCTGTCACATACGGCTTACACACACATGTAGGGCCATCGCTCTTAATAAACACGTACGCACGTGTGCCCACACCAGTGGAGGCTGCTGAGACGAGGACGGCTCATAATAATGGCTGGAATGGAATGGTATCAATCACATCAAAGACGTGGTTTCCATATGGTTGATACCATTCCATTGACTCCGTTCCAGCCGTTATTATGAGTCGTCCTCCCCTCAGCAGCCTCCACTGATACAGACACACACACCTAGCCCGTGGGATTGAGCGTGGGTGCATATCTGTGTCTCAGGGATCCATTAGCTATGCCTGGGCCAGCGAGGGGTGAGAGGGTGCTCCCATGCATGGGGTCATTATACCCCTCATTCATATTTTAGCTCAACACCTCTCTGTATTCTGTTGATGAGGGCGCTGTAAATAATAGTGTCACAGAAGAACGCACTGTAGAACGTTCTATTGAAGTGTCTAAAGGTAAAGTAAGCTGAGGCCTTTCATAAATGTCCTTTAGATGGCTCTGTAAGGGTTGGTGCTGCTAGATTCAAAAAGTTCATTTGGAGACGAAGCAAAAAGGAACTAGATTATTTTGTCTGTTTTGTGAACTGATAAATAATGGGGTTTGGATGCGAGCACTTTACCAGAGTTTGAGAAAAAAACACTACAGCAGTAAACCATATAGTTATTATTTGCATCCTACAGGAATTATCTGATTGATTATCCACACATTTCCACGTGTGTGTGTGTGCGTGTGTGTGTGTGTGTGTGTGCGTGGGCCAGGTGACCAACGAGCCTCCTAAGGGTCTACGTGCCAACGTGCGCCGGGCGTTCACTGAGATCACCAACAACTTCTTTGAGGAGCACATCCTGGGACGCCAGTGGAGGAAGATCATCTTCGGAGTCTGCTTCTTCCACGCTATCATACAGGTCAGAACACACACACACACACACACACACACCACACACACACCACACACATACACACACACACACACACACACACACACACACACCACACACACACACACCACACACACACACACACCACACACACACACACCACACACACACACACACCACACCACACACACACACACACACCACACACACACCACACACACACACACACACCCACACACCCACGTCCACACACACACACACCTCCTACTATATTCATTAAGTCTTTGTAACTGATGTTGAGACAGTAGAATAAAAACGGTGTGTGTGTGTGTGTGTGTGTGTTGCAGGAGAGGAAGAAGTTTGGACCTCTGGGCTGGAACATCCGTTATGAGTTCAACGACAGCGACAGAGAGTGTGCCCTGCTCAACCAGAACCTCTACTGTCAGACTGGCCACATACCCTGGGACGCTCTCATCTACATCACTGGTAGGACTGTGTGTGTGTGTCGGCCTCCCTGCCGGGTCCTCCATTATTCATCACATTACTGCTGGTCTCTGTCAGGTTCTGGGACGTTTAGCAGCAGGCCAGACCCTGAGGTTATGTGAGGTTTAGCAGCAGGCCAGACCCTGAGGTTCTGGGAAGTTTAGTAGCAGGGAAGACCCTGAGGTTCTGGGAGGTTTAGTAGCAGGGAAGACCCTGAGGTTCTGGGAGGTTTAGCAGCAGGGAAGACCCTGAGGTTCTGGGAGGTTTAGCAGCAGGCCAGACCCTGAGGTTATGTGAGGTTTAGCAGCAGGCCAGATCCTGAGGTTCTGGGAGGTTTAGCAGCAGGGAAGACCTTGAGGTTCTGGGAGGTTTAGCAGCAGGGAAGACCCTGAGGTTCTGGGAGGTTTAGTAACAGGGAAGACCCTGAGGTTCTGGGAGGTTTAGTAACAGGGAAGACCCTGAGGTTCTGGGAGGTTTAGTAGCAGGCCAGACCCTGAGGTTCTGGGAGGTTTAGTAGCAGGGAAGACCCTGAGGTTCTGGGCGGTTTAGTAGCAGGGAAGACCTTGAGGTTCTGGGAGGTTTAGCAGCAGGGAAGACCCTGAGGTTCTGGGAGGTTTAGTAGCAGGGAAGACCCTGAGGTTCTGGGAGGTTTAGTAGCAGGGAAAACCCTGAGGTTCTGGGAGGTTTAGCAGCAGGGAAGACCCTGAGGTTCTGGGAGGTTTAGCAGCAGGGAAGACCCTGAGGTTCTGGGAGGTTTAGCAGCAGGGAAGACCAAAACCTCGATTTCAAAATAATAATTTACACTATATATACAAAAGTATGTGGACACTCCATCAAATAGTGGTTTCTGCTATTTCAGCCACACCCATTGCATTGGGAAAGTATTCAGACCCCTTGACTTCTTCCACATTTTGTTATGTTACAGCCTTATTCTAAAATCGATTAAATAAAACATGTTCCTCATCAATCTACACACAATACACCATAATGACAAAGCGAAAATAGTTTTTGTTTTTAATTTAGCAAATGTATAAAAAACACAAAACAGAAATACCTTATTTACATAAATATTCAGACCCTTTGCTATGAGACTCAAAATTGAACTCTGGTACATCCTGTTTCCATTGATCATCCTTGAGATGTTTCTACAACTTGATTGGAGTCCACCTGTAGTAAATTCAATTGATTGGACATGATTTGGAAAGCCACACACCTGTCTATATAAGGTCCCACAGTTGACAGTGCATGTCAGAGCAAAAACCAAGCCATGAGGTTGAAGGAATTGTCCGTAGGGCTCAGAGACAGATCTGGGGAAGGGTACCCAAAAATTTCTGTAGCATTGGAGGTCCCAAAGAACAGTGGCTTCCATCATTCTTAAATGGAATACGTTTGGAACCACCAAGACTCTTCCTAGAGTTGGGTGCCCGGCCAAACTGAGCAACCGGGGGAGAAGGGCCTTGGTCAGGGAGGTGACCAAGAAACCGATGGTCACTCTGAGAGAGCTGCAGAGTTCCTCTGTGGAGATGGGAGCACCTTCCAGAAGGACAACCATATCTGCAGCAATCAGGCCTTTATGGTAAAGCTGCCAGATGGAAGCCACTCCTCAGTAAAAGGCACATGACAGCCCGCTTGGAGTTTGCCAAAAGGCACCTAAAGGACTCTCAGACCATGAGAAACAAGATTCTGTGGTCTGATGGAACCAAGATTGAACTCTTTGGCCTGAATGCCAAGCATCATGTCTGGAGGAACCCTGGCACCATCCCTACGGCGAAGCATGGTGGTGGCAGCATCATGCTGTGGGGATGTTTTTCAGCGGCAGGGACTGGGAGAATAGTCAGGAACAAGGGAAAGATGAACGGAGCAAAGTACAGAGATATTCTTGATGAAAACCTGCTCCAGAGCGCTCAGGACCTCTGACTGGGGCGAAGGTTCACCTTCCAACAGGACAACGACCCTAAGCACACAGCCAAGACAACGCAAGAGTGGCTTCGGCCTCTGAATGTCCTTGAGTGGCCCAGCCAGAGCCCGGCCTTGAACCCGATCTAACATCTCTGGAGAGATGAGAGGATCTGACAGAGCTTGAGAGGATCTGCAGAGAAGAATGGGAGAAACTCCCCAAATACAGGTGTGCCAAGCTTGTAGCGTCATAACCAAGAAGACTCGAGCCTGTAATCGCTGCCAAAGGTGCTTCAACAAAGTACTGAGTAAAGGGTCTGAATACTTATGTAAATGTTATATTTCCGGGTTTTTTATTTCATTTTTATTTGCAAAAATGTCAAAAAACCTATTTTTGCTTTGTCATTGTGGTGTTGTGTGTAGATTGATGAGGACAAAAAACAATCTAATCCATTTTAGAATAAGGCTGTAACGTAACAAAATGTGGAAAAAGTCAAGGAGTCTGAATACTTTCCGAATGCACTGTATATAATCGAGAACACAGCCATGCAATCTACATAGACAAACATTGGCAGTAGAATGGCCTTACTGAAGGGCTCAGTGACTTTCAACGTGGCACCGTCATAGGATGCCACCTTTCCAACAAGTCAGAGCTGCTCCGGTCAACTGTAAGTGCTGGTATTGTGAGGTGGAAACGTCTAGGAGCAACAGCTGCTCAGCCGCGAAGTGGTAGGCCACACAAGCTCACAGAATGGGACTGCCGAGTGCTGAAGTGCATAGCGCGTAAATATCACCTGTCCTCAGTTGCAACACTCACTACCGAGTTCCTGCCTCTGGACGCAACGTCAGCATAATAGCTGTTCGTTGGGAGCTTCATAAAATAGGTTTTCATGGCAGAGCAGCCGCACACTAGCCTAAGATCACCATGCTCAATGCCAAGCGTCGGCTGGAGTGGTGTAAAGCTCACCGCCATTGGAATCTAGATCAGTGGAAACGCGTTCTCTGGAGTGATGAATCACGCTTCACCATCTGGCAGTCCGACGGACAAATCTGGGTTTGGCGGATGCCAGGAGAACGCTACCTGCCCCAATTCATCGTGCCAACTGTAAAGTTTGGTGGAGGAGGAATAATGGTCTGGGGCTGTTTTTCATGGTTTGGGCTAGGCCCCTTAGTTCCAGTGAAGGGAAATCTTAACGCTACAGCATACAATGACATTTTAGACAATTATGTGCTTCCAACTTTGTGGCAACAGTTTGGGGAAGGTCATTTCCTGTTTCAGCATGACAATGCCCCTGTGCACAAAGCAAGGTCCATACAGAAATGGTTTGTCGAGATCGGTGTGGAAGAACTTGACCGGCCTGCACAGAGCCCTGACCTCAACCCCATTGAACACCTTTTGGATGAATTGGAACGCAGCCTGCTAGCCAGGCCTAATCAAGATTTTTTTTAATCGCTTTGGATTACACATTCCTGAGGACATATTTTTTCATTATTGTTTTTTTTCTTCAGACTTTGTAATGTTTGTTTAATTCCTAATTCAACCATTCTTTGTATTTGGAAACCATCTATTTGAAAATAGTTTGGTCACAAACCTAGCATGATATCAGTTTTTTTATCCTGAAAAAAAGGGTTCCTTGCTCATGTAGTGCAGTAACTGAGAGGTAGACAGAAGGGTTCCACAGTGTTCTGCATACTAAAGTTTAGAACCTAGATTAGAACCTTCCATTTACCCAGCAGACCCTCTGTGCCAGCTCCACTCTGCCTGTAATAGGAATGCTTCAAAATGTGCACATGTGTTTTTCACAGCAGGTTCATGTAAAGTGGGTTGTGTTCATTAGGGGACTGACCGTAAAACCAAAATGAGCATTTCTTCTGGAGGCTGCCCCTGCAGGTTTCTGTCTATTTTCTTCCTTTTAGTGCCTAATGACCCCCCCCCCCCCACCCTCTCCTCTCTCCTCCCCCCACCCTCTCCTCTCTCCTCCCCTCACCCTCTCTCCCCGCAGGTGAGATAACATACGGAGGCCGGGTGACTGATGCCTGGGACCAGCGCTGTCTCCGCACCATCCTCAAAAGGTTCTTCTCTCCTGTCACCCTGGACCCAGGATACACCTTCTCCACCTCAGGTGAAGACCACACTGTGTGTGTGTGTGTGTGATCGAGCAAGCGAGCGAGTGTGTGTGTGTGTGATCGAGCGAGCGAGTGTGTGTGTGCGAGCGTGTGTGTGTGTGTGTGTGAGCATTTGTGTGTGTGCGTTTGTGTGTACACATGTTGCTGAATCTGAGACACAGGGGAAATGTGTGTCCTTTTCTGTGTGTGTGTCCAGTGAGCTCTAACTGTTCCTCTTCTCTCTCTGTGGTTCAGGGATCTACTTCGCCCCTGAGGCAGACAGACTGAGTGACTATAACAGGTACATAGAGAACCTTCCTCTTATAGACGACCCTGAGATCTTTGGTATGCACGAGAACGCCAACCTCGCCTTCCAGGTTAGACACTCTGCTTATATACGCTCACCTTTAGCTCAGTGGGCTAATACTGCCTTGGGGGAAATTAACTATACAGTACCTAAATCGAATTTGTTTAGACTGATTTAGTTTTCTCATGTAGTGTCTGAAAATAAGAGGTCAGATTACTAATACAGAAAATGTGGATCATATTTTAAACCTTTATTTAGCCAGTTAAGATAAGAACATTATCTTTGATGCTTACAACATGGATACAAGCGTATGTTGCCTGTGTCCTGTGGGCTGGACTTACTGTTCATCCCTAAAACTGTCTGTACAGCGCCTGGAGACCATGACCCTGATCAACACCATCCTGGAGGTACAGCCTAGGTCGACGGCCCGCGGTGGGGGCAAGAGCAACGACGAGATCGTCCACGAGCTGGCCGACTCCATCCTCGCTAAGATACCGGGTGAGAGAGACGCACGTAGACACACACACACACACACACACACACGTCTCAGGCTAGACTTATTCTGGTGCTTTTACGGTTTGATGTTCGCTTTGGTTTGAAATTAAAGTTAGTCTTTCTAAACTCATTACAGTATGGTTGAAGTTACTGTCTGTCTGTCTGTCTCTCTGTCTGTCTGTCTCTCTGTCTGTCTGTCTCTCTGTCTGTCTTTCTGTCTGTCTGTCTGTCTGTCTGTCTCTCTGTCTGTCTCTCTGTCTGTCTCTTTCTCTGTCTCTCTGTCTCTGTGTCTCTCTGTCTCTCTGTCTGTCTCTGTCTGTCTCTCTGTCTTTCTTTCTGTCTGTCTCTCTGTCTGTCTGTCTCTCTGTCTGTCTGTCTGTCTGTCTGTCTGTCTGTCTGTCTCTCTCTCTGTCTCTGTGTCTGTCTGTCTGTCTCTCTTTCTGTCTCTCTGTATGTCTCTCTGTCTCTGTGTCTCTCTGTCTGTCTCTGTCTCTCTGTCTGTCTCGCTGTCTGTATCTGTCTCTCTGTCTCTCTGTCTGTCTGTCTCCTCAGAGTGTCTGGATATGGATGAGGCAGATGAGGCTCTGTTTATTCGTGACGCCAACGGACGCCTCAACTCCCTCACCACAGTCCTCGGACAGGAAGTAGACCGCTTTAACAACCTTCTGCGGGTCCTCAGGGTGAGTAAGGGGTTAGAGGTTAGAGGTCAGGACAGTAGTGGGATAGAAAGTATACTGCTTCAACAACTTGCTGAGTCCTCAGGGTGGGTCAGAGGTCAGTGGTCCCTGCTGTCAGCCCTTCATTTTATTTCAATTCTGTGAAATCAGGAGATGATGATTGGAAATTGAAATGCAGTGAAAAGGCTCCTTTATTTTAGTTAGAGTTGGATATCAAATGTTAGGACAGCTACAGTGAGGGAAAAAAGTATTTGATCCCCTGCTGATTTTGTACATTTGCCCACTGACAAAGAAATGATCAGTCTATAATTTTAATGGTAGGTTTATTTGAACAGTGAGAGACAGAATAACAACAAAAAAATCTAGAAAAACGCATGTCAAAAATGTTATAAATTGATTTGCATTTTAATGAGGGAAATAAGTATTTGACCCCCTGTCAATCAGAAAGATTTCTGGCTTCCAGGTGTCTTTTATACAGGTAACGAGCTGAGATTAGGAGCACACTCTTAAAGGGAGTGCTCCTAATCTCAGCTTGTTACCTGTATAAAAGACACCTGTCCACAGAAGCAATCAATCAATCAGATTCCAAACTCTCCACCATGGCCAAGACCAAAGAGCTCTCCAAGGATGTCAGGGACAAGATTGTAGACCTACACAAGGCTGGAATGGGCTACAAGACCATTGCCAAGGAGCTTGGTGAGAAGGTGACAACAGTTGGTGCGATTATTCGCAAATGGAAGAAACACAAAAGAACTGTCAGTCTCCCTCGGCCTGGGGCTCCATGCAAGATCTCACCTCGTGGAGTTGCAATGATCATGAGAACGGTGAGGAATCAGCCCAGAACTACACGGGAGGATCTTGTCAATGATCTCAAGGCAGCTGGGACCATAGTCACCAAGAAAACAATTGCAAGGTCCCCCTGCTCAAGAAAGCACATATACAGGGCCGTCTGAAGTTTGCCAATGAACATCTGAATGATTCAGAGGAGAACTGATTGAAAGTGTTATGGTCAGATGAGACCAAAATCGAGCTCTTTGGTATCAACTCAACTCGCTGTGTTTGGAGGAGGAGGAATGCTGCCTATGACCCCAAGAACACCATCCCCACCGTCAAACATGGAGGTGGAAACATTATGCTTTGGGGGTGTTTTTCTGCTAAGGGGACAGGACAACTTCACCACATCAAAGGGACGATGGACGGGGCCATGTACCGTCAAATCTTGGGTGAGAACCTCCTTCCCTCAGCCAGGGCATTGAAAATGGGTCGTGAATGGGTATTCCAGCATGACAATGACCCAAAACACATGGCCAAGGCAACAAAGGAGTGGCTCAAGAAGAAGCCCATTAAGGTCCTGGAGTGGCCTAGCCAGTCTCCAGACCTTAATCCCATAGAAAATCTGTGGAGGGAGCTGAAGGTGTGAGTTGCCAAACGTCAGCCTCGATACCTTAATGACTTGGAGAAGATCTGCAAAGAGGAGTGGAACAAAATCCCTCCTGAGATGTGTGCAAACCTGGTGGCCAACTACAAGAAACGTCTGACCTCTATGATTGCCAACAAGGGTTTTGCCAGGATTTTTTTGTTGTTATTCTGTCTCTCACTGTTCAAATAAACCTACCATTAAAATTATAGACTGATCATGTCTTTGTCAGTGGGCAAACGTACAAAATCAGCAGGGGATGAAATACTTTTTTCCCTCACTGTATATCAGTCCATGGTTCCAGCTGCTGCCCCTAGGCATCAATGGAAGGTCCCCAGAGGCATGTTGGACGGACATACAGTGCATTCAGAAACTATTCAGACACCTTGACTTTTTCCACATTTTTTACATTACTGCCTTATTCTAAAATATATATTTTTTATACATTTGCTAAAATTTCTAACAACCTGTTTTCACTTTGTCATTATGGGGTATTGTGTGTAGATTGATGAGGGAATCCAATTTGGAAAAAGGAAAGTAGTCTGAATACTTTCCGAATGCACTCTATGTGTTTATATGGACAGATGCTGCAGCCACATTGTTGGCATATTGTTACTGCAGTGGTGACCTCTGGGTTTATGTTATTGTGTGTGTTGTGGATGGCTCGGATAAACACCCACAAACACTTACACTCACATTGACTCCCCTCCCTCCCTCCCTCCCTCCCTCCCTCCCTCCCTCCCTCCCTCCCTCCCTCCCCAGGTGTCTCTGTGTACCCTCCAGAAGGCTATAGCAGGGCTGGTGGTGATGTCAGAGGAAATGGAGAGGATCTACACCAGTTTCCTCAACAACCAGGTTCCAAACCACTGGGCCAACTCAGCATACCCCTCCCTCAAACCCCTAGCCAGCTGGGTTAAAGACCTGGCCCTCAGGACCTCTTTTATAGAGGTGACAGAGACCATATACACACACACACACACACACACACACACATACACACACACACACACACACACACACACACACACACACACACACACACACACACACACACACACACACATGAACTGCAGTACAGTTGGGTCAATGAACCTCTCCCAAACCTCTATTTATGTACATATGTATCAATGTACTACGACACAGTGAACACTATATTTACTTCTCTCAGACGTGTTTGGATGTCATTACATCAGATGGGAAGACTTAGACGTGTGTGGATGTCATTACATCAGATGGGAAGACTCTTAGATGTGTGGATGTCATTACATCAGATGGGAAGACTCTTAGATGTGTGGATGTCATTACATCAGATAGGAAGACTCTTAGATGTGTGGATGTCATTACATCAGATAGGAAGACTCTTAGACATGTTTGGATGTCATTACATCAGATGGGAAGACTCTTAGACGTGTTTGGATGTCATTACATCAGATGGGAAGACTTAGACGTGTGTGGATGTCATTACATCAGATGGGAAGACTTAGACGTGTGTGGATGTCATTACATCAGATAGGAAGACTCTTAGACGTGTTTGGATGTCATTACATCAGATAGGAAGACTCTTAGACGTGTTTGGATGTCATTACATCAGATGGGAAGACTCTTAGACGTGTTTGGATGTCATTACATCAGATGGGAAGACTCTTAGACGTGTGTGGATGTCATTACATCAGATGGGAAGACTTAGACGTGTGTGGATGTCATTACATCAGATAGGAAGACTCTTAGACGTGTTTGGATGTCATTACATCAGATAGGAAGACTCTTAGACGTGTTTGGATGTCATTACATCAGATGGGAAGACTCTTAGACGTGTTTGGATGTCATTACATCAGATGGGAAGACTCTTAGACGTGTGTGGATGTCATTACATCAGATGGGAAGACTCTCAGCCGTGTGTGGATGTCATTACATCAGATGGGAAGACTCTTAGACGTGTGTGGATGTCATTACATCAGATAGGAAGACTCTTAGACGTGTTTGGATGTCATTACATCAGATGGGAAGACTCTTAGACGTGTGTGGATGTCATTACATCAGATGGGAAGACTCTTAGACGTGTGTGGATGTCATTACATCAGATGGGAAGACTCTCAGACGTGTGTGGATGTCATTACATCAGATAGGAAGACTCTTAGACGTGTTTGGATGTCATTACATCAGATGGGAAGACTCTTAGACGTGTTTGGATGTCATTACATCAGATGGGAAGACTCTTAGACGTGTTTGGATGTCATTACATCAGATGGGAAGACTCTTAGACGTGTTTGGATGTCATTACATCAGATGGGAAGACTTAGACGTGTTTGGATGTCATTACATCAGATGGGAAGACTTAGACGTGTTTGGATGTCATTACATCAGATGGGAAGACTTAGACGTGTTTGGATGTCATTACATCAGATGGAAAGACTCTCAGACGTGTTTGGATGTTGTCATTACATCAGATGGGAAGACTTAGACGTGTTTGGATGTCATTACCTCAGATGGGAAGACTTAGACGTGTTTGGATGTCATTACATCAGATGGGAAGACTCTTAGACGTGTTTGGATGTCATTACATCAGATGGGAAGACTTAGACGTGTTTGGATGTCATTACATCAGATGGGAAGACTCTTAGACGTGTGTGGATGTCATTACATCAGATGGGAAGACTCTTAGACGTGTGTGGATGTCATTACATCAGATGGGAAGACTCTTAGACGTGTTTGGATGTCATTACATCAGATGGGAAGACTCTTAGACGTGTTTGGATGTCATTACATCAGATGGGAAGACTCTCAGACGTGTTTGGATGTTGTCATTACATCAGATGGGAAGACTCTCAGACGTGTTTGGATGTTGTCATTACATCAGATGGGAAGACTCTTAGACGTGTTTGGATGTTGTCATTACATCAGATGGGAAGACTTAGACGTGTTTGGATGTCATTACATCAGATGGGAAGACTTAGACGTGTTTGGATGTTGTCATTACATCAGATGGGAAGACTCTTAGACGTGTTTGGATGTTGTCATTACATCAGATGGGAAGACTCTTAGACGTGTTTGGATGTCATTACATCAGATGGGAAGACTTAGACGTGTTTGGATGTCATTACATCAGATGGGAAGACTTAGACGTGTTTGGATGTCATTACATCAGATGGGAAGACTCTTAGACGTGTTTGGATGTTGTCATTACATCAGATGGGAAGACTCTTAGACGTGTTTGGATGTTGTCATTACATCAGACTCTTGTGTTTGTGTGCATGAGTGTGTTACATATGTAGGTAATGTAGTATGACACAGCGGAAACAGAACATCTATGTATGCGTCCTCTTATTAGGAACATTCTGTGAACACAGTCAGACGAATGTAGATGTTGGCATTAGCTCAGATGGGAAGACTCTTAACACATGGTGTGGTGCTTACAGGAACTCCCCCCAGGCAGAGACACACACACACAGTCATTATCAGGGGTAGTGGGATGGGATGATGGGATGGGAGAATCATGTTTAAAGATTAGCAGCACGCCATCCACTTCAGACAGATGTCTCTCTCTCTCTCTCTTTCTTTCTTTCTTTCTCTCTTTCTTTCTCTCTTTCTCTTTTCTCTCTCTCTCTCTCTCTCTCTCTCTCTCTGTCTCTCTCTCTCTGTCTCTCTCTGCTCTCTGTCCATCTCTCTCTCCTCTCTATCAATTCAAGGGGCTTCATTGGCATAGGATGGCACTTAGGTTGGAGTCATTAAAACTTGCTTTTCAACCACTCCACAAATTCCTTGTTAACAAACTATAGTTTTGGCAAGTCGGTTAGGACATCTACTTTGTGCATGACACAAGTAATTTTTCCAACAATTGTCAGATTATTTAACTCATAATTTACTGTATCACAATTCCAGTGGGTCAGAAGTTTACATACACTAAGTTGACTGACTGTGCCTTTAAACAGCTTGGAAAATTCCAGAAAATGATGTCATGGCTTTAGAAGCTTCTGATAGGCTAATTGACATCATTTGAGTCAATTGGAGGTGTACCTGTGGATGTATTTCAAGGCCTACCTTCAAACTCAGTGCCTCTTTGCTTGACATCATGGGAAAATGAAAAGAAATGAACCAAGACCTCAGAAAAAAAATTGTAGACCTCCACAAGTCTGGTTCATCCTTGGGAGCAATTTCCAAACGCCTGAAGGTACCACGTTCATCTGTACAAACAATAGTACGCAAGTATAAACACCATGGGACCACGCAGCCGTCATACCGCTTAGGAAGGAGATGCGTTCTGTCTCCTAGAGATGAACGTATTTTGGTGCGAAAAGTGCAAATCAATCCCAGAACAACAGCAAAGGACCTTGTGAAGATGCTGGAGGAAACAGGTACCAAAGTATCTATATCCACAGTAAAACGAGTCCTATATCGACATAACCTGAAATGCTGCTCCAAAACCGCCATAAAAAGGCCAGACTATGGTTTGCAACTGCACATGGGGACAAAGATCATACTTTTTGGAGAAATGTCCTCTGGTCTGATGAAATAAAAATAGAGCTGTTTGGCCATAATGACCATCGTTATGTTTGGAGGCTAAGGTGTATGTAAACTTCTGACTTCAACTGTATCTCTGCTCTTTCTGTCCATCTCTCTCTCTCTCTCTCTCTCTCTCTCTCTCTCTCTCTCTCTCTCTCTCTCTCTCTCTTTCTCTTTCTCTCTCTCTTCTCTATCTATCTCTCTCCCTTTCTCTCTCTGCTCTCTCTGTCCATCTCTCTCTCGCCTCCTCTCTCTTTCTCTCTGTGCACTCGCTCCGTCGCCCCCAGACTGAAGTATCTGTTCCGGGAGACTGGTCTTACTGTGTGTTACGCAATCCCCAAATTTATACACAGAGACTAACATGACCCCAGTCTCTGGTGACAGCCTTAACATTAGGTTCTGGGAGCTGAGATTAACATAACCTCAGTCTCTGGTGACAGTCTTAACATTAGGTTCTGGGAGCTGAGATTAACATAACCCCAGTCTCTGGTGACAGCCTTAACATTAGGTTCTGGGAGCTGAGATTAACATAACCCCAGTCTCTGGTGACAGTCTTAACATTAGGTTCTGGGAGCTGAGATTAACATAACCCCAGTCTCTGGTGACAGCCTTAACATTAGGTTCTGGGAGCTGAGATTAACATGACCCCAGTCTCTGGTGACAGTCTTAACATTAGGTTCTGGGAGCTGAGATTAACATAACCCCAGTCTCTGGTGACAGCCTTAACATTAGGTTCTGGGAGCTGAGATTAACATAACCCCAGTCTCTGGTGACAGTCTTAACATTAGGTTCTGGGAGCTGAGATTAACATAACCCCACTCTCTGGTGACAGTCTTAACATTAGGTTCTGGGAGCTGAGATTAACATAACCCCAGTCTCTGGTGACAGTCTTAACATTAGGTTCTGGGAGCTGAGATTAACATAACCCCAGTCTCTGGTGACAGCCTTAACATTAGGTTCTGGGAGCTGAGATTAACATAACCCCAGTCTCTGGTGACAGCCTTAACATTAGGTTCTGGGAGCTGAGATTAACATAACCCCAGTCTCTGGTGACAGTCTTAACATTAGGTTCTGGGAGCTGAGATTAACATAACCCCAGTCTCTGGTGACAGTCTTAACATTAGGTTCTGGGAGCTGAGATTAACATAACCCCAGTCTCTGGTGACAGTCTTAACTTTAGGTTCTGGGAGCTGAGATTAACATAACCCCAGTCTCTGGTGACAGTCTTAACATTAGGTTCTGGGAGCTGAGATTAACATAACCCCAGTCTCTGGTGACAGTCTTAACATTAGGTTCTGGGAGCTGAGATTAACATAACCCCAGTCTCTGGTGACAGTCTTAACATTAGGTTCTGGGAGCTGAGATTAACATAACCCCAGTCTCTGGTGACAGTCTTAACATTAGGTTCTGGGAGCTGAGATTAACATAACCCCAGTCTCTGGTGACAGTCTTAACATTAGGTTCTGGGAGCTGAGATTAACATAACCCCAGTCTCTGGTGACAGTCTTAACATTAGGTTCTGGGAGCTGAGATTAACATAACCTAAACAAGCTCACTCTCCCCTTCATGTCTGTCTGTGTGTGTGTGTGTGTGTGTGTGTGTGTGTGTGTGTGTGTGTGTGTCTGTCTGTGTGTGTGTGTGTGTGTGTGTGTGTGTGTGTATTCATGCAGGGTAACCAACATCCTCTCTGTCTGTGTGTCTGTGTAGAGCTGGATCATGCGGGGTCAACCCAAATCCTTCTGGATCTCTGGATTATTCTTCCCTCAGGGCTTCCTCACTGGTCAGTACACACTGTCTCCACTGTGTTATGGAATCTAGTCAATATTCTGTATAGTCAATATTTAATATGCTGTTCTCTATTCAATATTATGTAGCCAATAAATATTCAATATTCTGTACTCTAGTCAATATGATGTAGTCTATTAAATATTCAATATGCCGTTCTCTATTCAATATTATGTAGCCAATAAATATTCAATATTCTGTTCTCCTCAACATTGTAGTCTACTTGAGAATCATATAGTATGTTGTTGGGTTCTGAGACAGGTGCTGTATATGAATACATCCTGTTAGTATTGATAAGGCATGGGATCAGTACAAAAGTAAAGTACCAAACTGGGTTCCAGTCCAGTTACTGAGATGTTGAAACACTGTTGTGCTGTTCCCCCTCCTGACCTGTAGGGGCGTTACAGAACCACGCCAGGACCTATAACCTCCCCATCGACGAGCTCAACTTCCGCTTCAACGTGTTGCCGGTGTACCGTGACCAGGGGGCTGTGAGCGAGGCGCTGAAGACCCTATCGGCCGGAGGCGAGCTGGACATGGACTCTGAGGTAGCTACAGGGAGAGGAGAGGGACATTTTTAGACTGGTTGCCTTGAGTTTACTGCATCCTGCCTTCAAAGCAGATCTGCCTTTAGAGCAAAGTTTAACTTCTTGAAAAACATGAACGAGCTAAGCTACTCACTGATAGAAATGACTCCAACACACTTTGACCTCTGTGTGATGTTTAGTGGTCATCAGGCAACTAGTCAAGTTTTAGAACAGTATCTGTATCATAATAATGGTTTTGGGCTGTCATCACATGATCTAGATTTTAACCTGTATTTAAAGCCTTTTCCAGAAATGAGAATTTCACCAAAAATGAAAACCATTGTCTGAGGATGGTTCTGGACCATCTGACATTGAAAGAAAAGCGGACAGTTTGTTGAAAAAACTTTAACTAAAGGGTTCAAAACCAGGTCCAGCGCCCTAATCATAATGTATTATAATTTCACATTATGGTAACTCAAGTACTGCCTGACCCCGTTTCCATAGCTACCCACCATCAACGACGGCGTGCTGGTGCACGGGATGTTCATGGACGCCAGTCGCTGGGACGACGTCAACATGGTGATGGAGGATGCGTTGCCGCGGGTGATGAACGCCATGCTCCCCGTGGTGCACTTTGAACCCCAGCAGAACTACGACCCTGATCCGTCTCTCTACCAGGCTCCGCTGTACAAGACCTCAGCTAGGGCTGGGACTCTGTCTACTACAGGTAATATACACTGAGTGTACCAAACATTAAGGACACCTTCCTAATATTGAGTTGCACCCCCTTTTGCCATCTAAACAGCCTCAATTCATCGAGGCATGGACTCTACAAGGTGTTGAAAGCTGGCCCATGTTGACTCCAATGTATCCCACAGTTGTGTCAAGTTGGCTGGATGTCCTTTGTGTGGTGTTCTCTGGTTCTGTCCATCATGTCCAGATAGTGACAGACCTGTGTGTTCTCTGGTTCTGTCCATCATGCCCAGATAGTGACAGACCTGTGTGTTCTCTGGTTCTGTCCATCATGTCCAGATAGTGACAGACCTGTGTGTTCTCTGGTTCTGTCCATCATGTCCAGATAGTGACAGACCTGTGTGTTCTCTGGTTCTGTCCATCATGTCCAGATAGTGACAGACCTGTGTGTTCTCTGGTTCTGTCCATCATGTCCAGATAGTGACAGACCTGTGTGTTCTCTCCCTCAGGCCACTCTACTAACTTTGTGGTGACGGTGACGCTGCCGTCCAGCCTGCCTAGTGACTACTGGATCACCAAGGCCTCAGCCCTGCTCTGTCAGCTCGACGAGTAGTGACCTAACCACAGGCACCGCACTACACACACACACACACACACACACACACACACACACACGCACTACACACACACACACACACACAACTACGGAACATCTCTTCAGGACTTCTGTACTTCTGCACATTCAATACCAGCTGCACTGATGAAGCCCTGATGAAGCCCATTCTCTATGGACTCTTGTTTTCTGGAAACCAAATACTTTTTCTAACGTCTGTATTGAGACGTGTTCTACTGTATACTCTCTTCCTGCTAATGAATTGAAGGGATTATTTATATGGGGGCCCAAAATTGCATTTTTCTTGTATTTTCTGAGTTTCTTTGCTTTGATTAAATGCCATGTAGCAGTGCTGTTGTCGTTTCTGAATGGTGCTGTGTGCACGGGAGACGTGTTCAGTGGTGTGTTCAGTTCAGTCAATTTGGCTTCTCTTTCAGTCAACTATCCTTTCATTTGAACACATTGCAGCTACACCTCCCGACATGCGTTTTTTTTCCACCCCCAGACAGTCGACAAGAGATGTATACTGCGGTGCATTAATAGTCTCTAGTGTAGCATGCAAATGTAAAGTGAGAGTAGATCGTCAATATTCACCAGGAGCATCACGTAAACTAATTGACATGTAAGCGATGGTACTTCGGCGTCTCGCATCTCCCCCAATATAAATGAACCCTGTCCTTCTCAGCTGAAGGGACACCTGCGATAGTGAACATCCTCTAACAAAACGTTGCTCTCCTGCATTTAAAAAGTAAGCACTGTGTGTATATATATGTGTCTGTGAGGGGCACCGTTGACTTCATCTAGAAAAAAAATGATCTGAGGAAAAACAACATATTTAGCCTCTGTTACTGAAAAGGTTATTTCAACGCGGCGTGACACAGTAACTCACCCATTGTGATGTCACATTAGAATGCACACACAGGATTATATGTTCATCACACCCTTATATGAACTGTAACTCAGTAAAATCGTTGAAATTGTTGCATGTTTGCATTTCTATTTTTGTTCAGTGTATGTGCATCACACCCTCAGGGAGAGAGGTGGAGGAGGAGGAGAGGGGATGGAGGGGTATAAATGGTGCTGAGGAAAACAGTGCTGTCTAGAGATGGAGAAGTGAGGGATGGAGGGGTATAAATGGTGCTGAGGAAAACAGTGATTGTCTAGAGATGGAGGAGGAGAAGTGAGGGATGGAGGGGTATAAATGGTGCTGAGGAAAACAGTGCTGTCTAGAGATGGAGGAGGAGAAGTGAGGGATGGAGGGGTATAAATGGTGCTGAGGAAAACAGTGCTGTCATAGAGATGGAGGAGGAGAAGTGAGGGATGGAGGGGTATAAATGGTGCTGAGGAAAACAGTGCTGTCTAGAGATGGAGGAGGAGAAGTGAGGGATGGAGGGGTATAAATGGTGCTGAGGAAAACAGTGCTGTCTAGAGATGGAGGAGGAGAAGTGAGGGATGGAGGGGTATAAATGGTGCTGAGGAAAACAGTGCTGTCTAGAGATGGAGGAGGAGAAGTGAGGGATGGAGGGGTATAAATGGTGCTGATGAAAACAGTGCTGTCTAGAGATGGAGGAGGAGAAGTGAGGGATGGAGGGGTATAAATGGTGCTGAGGAAAACAGTGCTGTCTAGAGATGGAGGAGGAGAAGTGAGGGATGAGCATCAGGTGATAAAAGGCGTCAGTTTAGCCCACGTGCCTCTTAGGGTGTGCAAAGAGAACATAACACATGCCTTTTAAACAGAGAGAGAGAGACTGCACAGATATATACACTCCCAAACCAATTCAATTAGTGCAGATAAACATTTGAGTCATTTTAGCAGACGCTCTTATCCAGAGCGACTTACAGTTTAGTGAGTGCATTCATAATTAAAAAATAAAATAAAATTCATACTGGCCCCCCGTGGGAATCGAACCCACAACCCTGGCGTTGCAAACGCCATGCTCTACCAACTGAGCTACATCCCTGCCGGCCATTCCCTCTCCTCCAATTGTGTGCCGTTGCATGGGTCTCCCAGTCGCGGCCGGCTACGACAGAGCCTGGATTCGAACCAGGATCTCTAGTGGCACAGCTAGCACTGCGATGCAGTGCCTTAGACCACTGCGCCACTCGGGAGACATAAAGGCTTTAACCACAAAAAATACATTTGTCTTTTGTTCTGACCCAGATAAATATATACAGTTCCAGTCAAAAGTTTGGACACACCTACTCATTCAAGGGTTTTTCTTAATTTTTACTATTTTCTACATTGTAGAATAATAGTGAAGACATCAAAACTATGAAATAACTCATATGGAATCATGTAGTAACCAAAAAAGTAGCCACCCTTTGCCTTGATGACAGCTTTGCACACTCTTGGCATTCTCTTCAAAGGGTAGTCACCTGAACACTCCTACTCTTACAATAAGCGCCATGGGATTTTGAATGACCACAGAGAGTCAGGACACCCGTGTGTAAAGCTGTCATCAAGGCAAAGGGTGGCTTTTTGAAGAATCTCAAATATAAAATATAGTTTGATTTGTTTAACACTTTTTTGGTAACTACATGATTCCACATGTGTTATTTCATAGTGTTGATGTCTTCACTATTATTCTACAATGTAGAAAATAGTAAAAATTAAGAAAAACCCTTGAATGAGTAGGTGTGTTCAAACTTTTGACCGGTACTGTATATGCGATGTAGTAGTTGATTTTGAAATGGTATTAAAAAGTGGTCCATGATGAATAGTGTTACCGGCAGACTGTGCTGCGAGACTGGAGCGAAACACAACGGATATTCCATTAAATGTGTTGAAAACCTTTTGTGCGTTTCGAGTCCGCATTTGTAAAAAACAGTTTTACAAATGCACTGACACTGAATTGAGACGGTCCAGACGGTTGTTTCAAGCGATCAGACATTGCATCCAAAACCTAAGGTGTGGACAGGGGGGGAAAGGGTTTCTGTGTGTGTCCATAAAACTATTACCACAAACATTTGGACACAATGCTGATTGTCTCACACACACACACACACACACAATGAGAGAAACGTATACCACAATAAACACACCAATCATCACAAACACACTGGGAGAAACACACAACACAATCGCTCTCTCATAGACACCCACACATCGCAAGCACACAGCACAGATCTGTCGTGGTTTCAGAGCCTCTGCCACAGATCTGTTGTGGTTTCAGAGCCTCTGCCACAGATCTGTCGTGGTTTCAGAGCCTCTGCCACAGATCTGTTGTGGTTTCAGAGCCTCTGCCACAGATCTTAGCTTAGTATTCCTGCAGCAGCAGCGTCCCGGAAGACCCAGAAGGAGAAATCTGTAAAGAGGAGAAACAGAACAGACCTGATGGAATATTAGGATTTCCAGGAGCGCGCACACACACACAATAAACCAGTGTGTCTGAAGAGTAAACAGAGCGAAACCACCTGTGATGCCTTGAAGGTGCATTGAAAGATTCTCCCTCAGACTGCTAAGTGATTCAGCTCCCCAGACAGTGTTTGTCAAGAGGGATGTAAAGCCATGCAGATGAAATATACCCTCTATACACAGTCACAACCTTTATGAATCAAACAACATTTGGACCAGGGCCATGAGTTGATGATGTCACCCTCATATCCTCCTCTGTAAGCTGACGGCACAGACACAGATCAAGGACCATAATGTAGAGTTAGGAGTTTTTCCAGGTTAGGGTCAGGAAAAACTCTGGGCCCTAGTTACAGGTAGTGAATTCATATTATATCCCCGTAAACTGACACTGGTTACAGGTAGTGAATTCATATTATATCCCCGTAAACTGACACTGGTTACAGGTAGTGAATTCATATTATACCCCCGTAAACTGACACTGGTTACAGGTAGTGAATTCATATTATATCCTCGTAAACTGACACTGGTTACAGGTAGTGAATTCATATTATATCCCCGTAAACTGACACTGGTTACAGGTAGTGAATTCATATTATATCCCCGTAAACTGACACTGGTTACAGGTAGTGAATTCATATTATACCCCCGTAAACTGACACTGGTTACAGGTAGTGAATTCATATTATATCCCCGTAAACTGACACTGGTTACAGGTAGTGAATTCATATTATATCCCCGTAAACTGACACTGGTTACAGGTAGTGAATTCATATTATATCCCCGTAAACTGACACTGGTTACAGGTAGTGAATTCATATTATATCCCCGTAAACTGACACCGCAACAGAGACAGATTCTGGATTAATTGTGTTAGAACCATAGGGCCAAGAGTTTTTCCTTGGCCCTGAATGATGTAACCATTTTGGAGTAAACTTGTTCTTCTCTCTTTATTGTTGTATAATAATAAACAATAGTAATGTATGTACATGTTTCTATGGAGACGATACACACGCAGCAGAAAGAGAGAGACACAGACACGCCGATGAAACAGACACTACGACACTCGTGACACTCGTGACAAATGGCATACTGACACCAACTACGGGCTTCAGAGTGACTTTCAATAAAACAAAAATGTGATCAATCGTATTGTCAAATATAGGTACAAAACTCAATACTTGTCCCATTTTAGTTAGATATAATTTTCAAAAAACGTTTTGTGATATTCTTCAGCCATTTCGTGCAAGAACACTCACGACGCATCAGCTAACACAGTGGAGAGGACAAAGCATGGTGTGTCCAATACTAGGTAGGACACAGAGATTACACACACACAGGGAGGGAATGGGGAACATGATCATCTACAACATGTCTACATGATAGACTATTAGCCAGATAAAGACATGGGAGGGAATGGGGAACATGATCATCTACAACATGTCTACATGATAGACTATTAGCCAGATAAAGACATGGGAGGGAATGGGGAACATGATCATCTACAACATGTCTACATGATAGACTATTAGCTAGATAAAGACATGTGATATCCACATCCGGTTAGTAGCGTTGTAAAATCCAACGGTGGTATAATCCTCGGTTCAGCAAGCTTGTTCCGACAGGACAGGGATTCAACAGTTTTCCTTTATGTGACACAGGTAAGTCTGTGTGTCTGTTACGTAACGTGACACGTTGATGAATAAAGTTTCATTTGAATGACCTCTGATGACAGCGCAGTGGTCTTCCCATTGGGGCTTTCCTCGTCTTTGATTGGCTCAGGGTCCATATCCAATTCGTCTCAGAGTAGGAATGCTGGTCTAGGATCAGTTTTGCTTTTTAGTTCATAACGAATAAGACTATATGGACACTGGGTTACCTGATCCTAGATAAGCTCTCCTACTCTGAGATGCTTTGTGGATACGGGCCCTGATCTTACAAGATCACATTCTGTTTCTCTACATGTTATGGTGAAACCAAACAGAGCAGCAGTCCGGATGGTGGATCAGGCTACGTCTCTGACCCCACAAACCTAATGTCCTTTGGACCTCCAGCCCCAGTCTAGGAGTTCTCTGTCTCTCGACCAATGTCTGTTGTTTTAATGACGTCCTTTCTCATGTACAAATCAGTGGGCCCAGTCCAGCCCAGTCTGAGTTCTGTCAGTGTCATGAAGACAGTAGAATGATAGACAGTAGTGATACAAGCCAGCTGAAGACAGTAGAACAATACACAGTTGTAATAAAATGTTTGACGTCATCTGTTTAACGATAAAAGGATCACCATAGTGAGAGTTAGTTTACTGTAGTTGTGTTGACACGGCGACAAGGTTAGACACACATTGTGGAATACGTAAGGGATTTGAATTTCAATAATACCCCCAGCCATCTGGGTTTCATGTCCTTTGCTTAACAATAGATTGGGAAAGACTGTTTAATTTTAGAGAACACAACACTAAAACAATCTGGACTACAAAAGGATTAACGTCTGTATCCGCCATGGAAAAACACACAGGTCTTTTTAGGAAGATATATTTTAAAATACATGTTTTTTATGGTGTCAGTTCTTAAGCTTGTTTTTTTATGTTGAGTTTTACTTGAAAAAACATCCATGATGATTTAGCTATACCCTGATATTCATGACACCTAGTTACAAATCTGACACGTAACATACTGCTTAATGAGATATAACGCTCACATGCTGAATGAATGTGGCTCAGTTAGCAAATAGTATCATATTCTACGCAGACAAAATATCTCTGTACCATGAGAGAGAAAAAGCCCAATTGAGTGAGAAAAGGTGAAAGCGAGCGAGAAAGAGAGAGGTTTTAGAGGAGAATCAGAGAGATAATGGGTCCTATCTGATCTGCAGTGATGGTATGCAGCTATAGCTTGATACAGTGTAGTAAGGTTACTGGGGAGGCGAAGCTGAGCTATAAATTAAATAACAGTGAAATGTAACCTGTAAAACTGTTACTACTTACATACTGCAGGTATATCTGACTGAAGGTCTGGGGGACAGAGGGAGAGGAGGAATGGGGGACAGAGGGAGAGGAGGAATGGGGGACAGAGGGGGAGAGGAGGAATGGGGGACAGAGGGAGAGGAGGAAGTGGGAGGACAGAGGGAAGAAAGGGGGCAAGGGAAGTGAGGAAATGGGGGACAGAGGGAGAAGGAGTAATGCGAAAGATGAAAGGGGGTACAAGGGAATGAGGAACTGGGTAAATCAGAGGAGAGGGAGTAATTGATAAGGGACAGGGGAGAGGAGGAATTGGGGACAAGGGAAGGAGGAATGGGGGACAGGGGAGAGGAGGAATGGGGGACAGGGGAGGAGGAATGGGGGACAGAGGGAGAGGAGGAATGGGGGACAGAGGGAGAGGAGGAATGGGGGACAGAGGGAGAGGAGGAATGGGGGACAGGTGAGAGAGGATGGGGGACAGGGGAGAGGAGGAATGGGGGACAGGGGATAGTGTAGGAATGGGGGTACAAGGGAGGAGGAATTGGGGGACAAGGGAGAGGAGGAATGTGGGACAGTAGGGAGAGATGCGAATTGGGGGACAGAGGGAGAGGAGGAATGGGGGACAGAGGGAGAGGAGGAATGGGGGACAGAGGGAGAAAAAGGTCCAGAGTGAAAGTAAGGGGAAAGATCTGCCTGATGGTCTGGGGGGAACGAGGGAGAAAGGAGGGGTGGGGGACAGAAGTGAAAAGCGGGTGAGGAGGTAAAGAGTGAAAATATGAGGACAGAAAGGATAACAATGAAAAGGGAGAGAAAGAAAGAGGTTAGAAAAAAGAGGAACGTAAAAGAGGATCTATACAAAAGAGGCTAGAAGCAAGTGTTGAAATTAAATGGTGCGAGGGAATGGGATAAAAGTGCATCAGTGAATTCACACACTGTTCTAGAACCCTAGAACCACCTACTATATACTGAGGTACTGTTACCTAACGAGTGGTAAGCATTGACTACAGCTACGGAAGCCATTTAGACAGTACTGTTACCTAACGAGTGGTAAGCATTGACTACAGCTACGGAAGCCATTTTGACAGTACTGTTACTGAACGAGTGGTAAGCATTGACTACAGCTACGGAAGCCATTTTGACAGTACTGTTACCTAACGAGTGGTAAGCATTGACTACAGCTACGGAAGCCATTTTGACAGTACTGTTACTGAACGAGTGGTAAGCATTGACTACAGCTAAGGAAGCCATTTAGACAGTACTGTTACCTAACGAGTGGTAAGCATTGACTACAGCTACGGAAGCCATTTTGACAGTTACGTTTTACCTAACGAGTGGAAAGAATTGACTACAGCTACAGAAGCCATTTTGACAGTACTGTTACCTAACGAGTGGAAAGAATTGACTACAGCTACGGAAGCCATTTAGACAGTACTGTTACTGAACGAGTGGTAAGCATTGACTACAGCTACGGAAGCCATTTTGACAGTACTGTTTACAGCTACGGAAGCCATTTTGACAGTACTGTTACCTAACGAGTGGTAAGCATTGACTACAGCTACGGAAGCCATTTTGACAGTACTGTTACTGAACGAGTGGTAAGCATTGACTACAGCTACGGAAGCCATTTAGACAGTACTGTTACCTAACGAGTGGTAAGCATTGACTACAGCTACAGAAGCCATTTAGACAGTACTGTTACTGAACGAGTGGTAAGCATTGACTACAGCTACGGAAGCCATTTTGACAGTACTGTTACTGAATGAGTGGTAAGCACTGACTACAGCTAAGGAAGCCATTTTGACAGTACTGTTACTGAACGAGTGGTAAGCATTGACTACAGCTACGGTAGCCATTTAGACAGTACTGTTAGCGCACGAGTGATAAGCATTGACTACAGCTACGGTAGCCATTTTGACAGTAACCACACCCACATGGAAGATATACTGTATATCACCATAATAATACACACCCATTATCAAAAAATTGACATTTGGTGTTCGGCAGGTAGCTTAGTGGTTAAGAGCGTTGTGCCAGTAACCGAAAGGTCGCTGGTTCTAATCCCCGAGCCAACTAGGTGAAAAATCTGTCGATGTGCCCTTGAGCAAGGCACTTAACCCTAATTGCTCCTGTAAGTTGCTCTGGATAAGAGCGTCTGCTAAATGACTAAAATGTAAAATGTGTTCCAAGTTCTGGTGTCATAATAAGTTATAACTCTAAAGATTATTTTATCTCAAAACGATGGGAGGTGGTTTTCAGTGGCTTCACAGAGTAGAGGCGGTTAGCTACAGTTTGTAGTTTGTATTGTTTAGCATTATAGCTAAAGTGCTAGTTAGCATTAGCCAATTCGCTACAGTGTTCGTTAGCGTTAGCCCGATTAGCCAGCCGAGATAAAAATCCACATTACGTGAGGTAATCCTTGGTCACAGCCTCTAGGAAGTTGGGCGCGGACATGAGGATGGTGAACGTGCCGATAATGGAGAAGATCGTGAACGCCACGAGACAAAGACGATCCACGACCGCCGCCGCAAACTTCCACTCGCTGCAGACCGCCTCACCCTCGTCCTGCTCCCTGAACCTCTGAGCGATAAAATGAACTTCCTCCAGGATCCGCCCGATCTCAGGGATCTGGTCCACCATCAACCTCCGGAAGATTCCCACGTCCCGGTCGGAGAGTAGCGCCTCGTTGGGGGAACACGTTCCACCTGTCCCTGTGGTCTGACTACCACCCACACCCCCTCCACTGCAGACCCCAACACCAGAAGAGTCACTGCTAGGTGGGCAGCAGGGGTTATCGTGAGACCCCCCCATGGATCCCATCCCTCCCATACCCATGGAGTGGTAGCCGAAGTACAGGTTCATGTTGCCGTTGGTGGTTGAGGTATTGGAGGGCTGTCCCCCAGGGATGGAGCCCATCTGGATGGAGCTGGAGCTGGCGTGGTGAGGGGGAGGGTGGGAGTACTTGTAGCCTCCTGTGGTGGAGCTGGTTGTAGTATTGGTGTTGGTGGTGAGGGTGGAGGTGGCGGCCATCTTGCGTTCCTCGCCAGGCTTCTTCATGCGGAGGAACCAGGCGCACCAGTTGAGGAGGATGACTCGCATCTAGAGAGGTGGGGTAGTGGAGGTAGGGGTGAGGAAAGAGAGAGAGAGGGAAAAAGGGAGAGAGGAAGGAAAGGTGAAGACATAGGGAGAGAGGTGGCAGAATGGGACAGTTTTATTAAGTTTATGATATAAAAAGTAGTAAAACACATACGTCATGAACACATTATTACATTGTTGACGAAAAAATGGCCATAAATAACGCTATGAGGCATAGATGTACAAGGATAGGTCTCCAGATGGACACAGGCAGACTATGTCACAGAGAGGCTCTACGGGGCTGGAGATGGTTAATGTTTAAAACATGTCTGGCCTGTCTGTGTGAGCTAGTCATCCCCTCAGGCGCTGTCTTGTCTGCCAGGGCAGAAGTGACACTTCAGGAAGTGACATATGTTACGATGACATAGGACTAGTCAATGAGCTGTCTCTATGACAGGCCTTCCTTGACTTTGAACTACAGCCACTTTGTGTTCCAATGCAGCAGGCTCTACAGGATCTTGTGAATATTCGATGAAAGTGGACTGACACTTTAAAGATGTGCGATACGATGACATAGGACTAGTCAATGAGTTGTTTACCAAAGACCTTGGAGTGATCTTGTACCCCAGCAAGGTTTTTGCTGCTCTCTCATTCTTGTGAAGTGTCCTGGGGTAAGATGTATTTTTAGTGTTCTTGTATGACAGGATTTGACTGTGTGTTGTTGCTCTTACATTACACTTCCACTTCCTCTGAAAACTCCCACTTTGGGGAGGAACTGAAGAGATTCTAAGATGATTCTAAGGTGTTGTAGACACCATCCCCTTGTGACCAACCTCCTAGACTGAAACAAAAGCATGTACAGCCAGTGGTACTACAGAACCGGACTTGGTGAATTCATACAAATGGCAAACAAACTGAACTTGAACTGCTCCTAGACTTCTACAACTCCTCTACTCAAGCACAACCAGAGGGAAGGACCATTAAGAGAAATGCAATTTTCCATGTCAGACAGGGTTAAGCATTTGAACCGGAACTACTCTACGACTCAAGGGGTCAGTTAAGAGGACATGACCCCAAAGAGCTTGGCAGGAAATGTAATGTAACCATGGTTACCTACCCATTTAGGCATCTTTACCCCGTGAGGGTCGTGATGGTGGAACTGTAGAACGAGAACCGTGACGACGAGGGATAGACCCACGATCATCATGGCAAATG